TCTAACGGAGACAGATCATCTGTGCACGACCGACTTTAAGTGCACGAGTGTGCACAAGCACAGTACCGCTTACCGTTTTCTCATTTTCATAGTCTAATGGTCTAGTCCGTTCATAATCTAATCTTTTCATAGTCTAATCCAATACGACAGGAGGAAAGTCAGGCAAAGAACCAATGAATGAATCTAAGTACTTGCGGTATGCGGGTGAAACACCGCCAACTATATTTTACGGGAAATAAGGCATTCTATCTTAGTCCCCAGGGGTGTCTGCATGCAGAACTTACCTACAGGCTCCTAGAATCTCAAGCATATTCTAACACCCAGCCATCTTCTTTATTATAATTTATAACTTTTTTAAATTCCAATGGCGTCTTAAATTCGTTTTCTATTATATTTGTTGTAATGACAAAGACAATGCTGAACATGACAAGACTCTGGTATTGTTCGTGTATATTTGCAAATATTTACCATTTAGTGACGTAGTAAGAATATCTACTATCCCATACCGTCTCGGCCTATTTACAGTATTGTTATTAGACTGTAATTGCAACGGTAGGCAAGCTTTCCACTCTACAGTTGAAGTGCCTAGTATAAAAGTTGACATTCTTCGTTATAAAAAAAAGTATAAAGTCAGATTAGTTACCAAAATATGCGCAAGCAATCTTTCCACTAGTTAGAGTATAAAAGTTAAGATTCTTCGTTATAAAAAAGTATAAAGTCAGATTAGTTACCAAAATATGCGCAAGCAAGCATTCCACTAGTTAGAGTATAAAAGTTGACATTCTTCGTTATAAAAAAAAGTGTAAAGTCAGATTAGTTACCAAAATATGCGCAAGCAAGTTTTCCACTAGTTAGAGTATAAAAGTTGACATTCTTCGTAATAAAAAAAAGTATAAAGTCAGATTAGTTACCAAAATATGCGCAAACAAGCTTTCCACTAGTTAGAGTATAAAACTTGACATTCTTCGTTATAAAAAAAAGTATAAAGTCAGATTAGTTACCAAAATATGCGCAAGCAAGCATTCCACTAGTTAGAGTATGGAAGTTGACATTCTTCGTTGTAAAAAAAAACTATAAAGTCAGATTAGTTACAAAATTTGCGCCAGATAACCTTTAAGGATCTTATTTTTCTTCCACTTCGAGAGCAGGTCAGCGGTTTTTATTTGATAATGCTTTTAATAAAATGGCGCTAAAAATCACTGCCCTGATAACTCTCACCCATTTATTTTATGGACCATTACGCTTCACTCTGACGCATGGGCTTATTTTTTATATGGTCAGCAGAATGAAATTTTTAATTGGTACTTTGTTTCTACGGAGTCAGACATTTTTATACGTTTACGTTATAAAAGTAGGCACATAGTTTAGTCGTTACTATTGTACACTCGAACTTGAACCTGATTAATATTTCCTTATAGAAATATCTGTCAAACCGCTACTATGTAGCTTTGTTTTTGTTTTATGAAATGTTAAAATTAAGTAAGCCTACCCTTTGAACCCCAGCACGTAGTGGAAAAATTAACCAATTAGTTAATAAGTTTATATTCATATTAATTTATCATGTATAATAACCAAAATACCAAATAACTGCCTTGTTGGTAAGTGGTTGTTAGTACCACTGATGATCATGTTGTCCCGGGTTCAAATCCTGGGTCTTTTCGTATTCTAGTTAGAAATTTGGTCCAAATTAGTGGTTGCGTTTATTTATTAAATGTTTGGTAGCAGCCCAGACTTAGGTAGTTGGCAGTGTTTTACTTCCATACCTCGAAAAGCACGTAAATTCATTAACTTCGCCTGGTCCTGCACGTGATCCCTCTCGGATTGCCTTTTGTCTATTGATGAAAGTAAATAAATAGAAGTAGCACATGTACATGCACGCACGCGCGTGGACTATAATTCTGCTATACGCAGATAAAAACAAAACGTGGATTGAGCAAAAATAACATTGATATTATTGCTCAGTGTCATTAGCATGGCACATCTACTGTCAGTTAGAACATTACAACCATGTCAGGTGTAAGTACAATTTATTATAATTTTAAAGAGGGAGGTAAATATATTACGAGCTGATACCGGTTATAAATAAATAAATAAATAAAAATAAAAGTCGTTTATTTCGACCACAAGGATCATAGAATGTTAGTAACAATACAAATCCTAAAACTAATGTTAGTAAAACTTAAAACTATTTACCTAATTTTCAAAACTATATCTAAGACAGGCCCGATTAGTCAGCACGTGCACCATATGACAATGGTTCAGGTACTGACAATCAAAACTGTCAGAAAATGCCCTCAGGATACCATTGGTACTGGCCCGCACCCTGCGCACCAGGGATGTGCATCGTTTAAGCATGGTGGTGTAGAAACAATCCAAACGCTTATCCGCAAACATACCCTACGCACTACAATAACGAGGCAGACCCAATAGCACCCTGAATGCATTATTATATTGAACACGCAGGGCATTATACTGTTTCTGCGTGTAATCCACCCACAGACTGCGCGTGTAAAAGGAAGTGCAGTAAGCTCTAAATAGCGTTACTTTAACAGGAACTGAACAACGAGTGAACCTGCGAGCGATCATGTTCGCTCTAACAGACAATGCCCTGCGCTCTCTCTCTATGTCAGCATCATCTTTCAGGTCAAAGGATACTATATGACCCAGGTACTTAAACTGAGACACCCTTCTTAACGGGGTACCGTATAACTTAATGGGTGGTGTATACGAGGGCAAGGCTTTACCTTTAGCCTGAAAGACCATGCATTCGCTTTTCTTGACATTATAAATCAATCCGTGACTGCGGGCGTAGCTCTCACATATGCTCAACAGTTTTGCCAAGCCACAAACAGAAGCACTCAGCAACACCATGTCATCTGCGTAACTGATGTTGTTGAGGCATACTCCGTCAATATGACAACCGACATGTGTGGTGCTAAGCAACTCTATCAGTGCATTCACATAAAGGTTGAAGAGCTTAGGAGAAGTTAAGCCCCCCTGTCGTACCCCGTACTCCAACCCATATGGCTGCGAATAGGTTTCGGATCATCGCACGACATTGACCTAGTTTCGATACCAAAATTTGAAGATCCTAGTAACTTCTTCCGGCAGTCCAGTATCTTTCAATTTCTGCCATAGGATATCGTAATTTACCAGGTCGAACGCCTTGCTAAGGTCCAGAAAACAGGCATAAATAGGCGTTCGTCTAACCGAATAGTACTTCACAGTTTGCTTCAAACATAATATAGCCGACTCTGTTGACAAACCCGGCCTGAAGCCAAACTGATTGTCGTGTAGGCATATATGTCTATCAAGCTGTGCGCTAAGCAAACTGTCAAGCACCTTTGCAACAACCATGGCAAGTGAGATGGGCCTATAGTTGGACTTATCAGATATGTCTCCAGTCTTGTTCTTTACAATAGGCACCACCACAGTTCTTATCAGAGCCGCGGGCAAGTATGAATGCGATATACATAAGTTATAAAACATAGAAAGTAATCTAGGTAAGTGAGGACCTGCATGTTTAAGGTGCTCAATACTAAGTCCGTCATGGCCAGAAGACTTCCCACGGGACATAGAAGCTATAGTTTTTTATTGACATCCTTCGCTGTAAATCGAATTCCAATCTCCCGGCCACGCGTATCCTCATCTTCTATGTCCTGTGATGGCTCCAACGGTGATGTCACTGTAAAATGCTCTCTAAACATATCCGCTATAAGACCATGATCATTAATACCATTGACGCTCACTGGTAGGCCAGGTTTACTATTTAAATTATTGGTCGATTTCCAAAAGTTACGAAAATCATTTTTCGCGTGCTGAGTAGCCAAAATGTCCATTTTTATTTGATCGCTGTGGTTCTGACACCACTTCAAGCGCGACTTAAATAAATTGCGACTCCTATGCATGTCCTCATAGACACTACCATTTTTTGGTTTTCCCCACCAAACCCACATTAAAAACTTCGACCTGGCCACCCTGTGGGCATCGCGTACATATCTGTTCCACCCACCACAGGCCGCTTGCCAACGCGTGATCTTACAGTGTAGGATTCAGTGGCAGCCACAGATAAAGAATTTACAATTTTACTATATAATTTATCGATACGTAATCTGTGATCAATGCACTTACAAACACAATTACTACAAGAACGAAATTCTTCGGGAAAATCGATAGCTCTTAACTTTTCATGACATAATTTCGTATATATTCTGATCTCCTCCGGTTTTCTATCTCCCCATAGAATCTCGTTAGTTACTTTATATACAAAAGTCAACTTTGGTTTGACAATATCCAAATTACATTCTATTACTAAAGGATAATGGTCCAGTAGACATCATACTTAACATAAACATTCAAAATAGACGATAAAGCGGATTTCGTCGCCACACAGTGATCAAGCCACCTTCTCGACCCGTGGCTCTGACTTACAAAAGTGTGTGTGCTCGACCTTACACCTAACCGCTGTACATCTACACATGACCACTCTTGTTCGTCACAAAAACAAATCAACTCGTTATAAAACCGCTCATTCGGATGTGCGTTAAAGTCGCCAAGGATGTATACACATTCTACATTACTAATATTAATTATAGCATTCACCGAACTGAGACAACCGTAAATTCCGTAAGGTTTACCATTTTATCTGTAGGCATGTACACACTAAACTCTAAGATGGACCTATCACCCAGCACTATTTGTATGCCACATATTCGTGGATTATCACAACACACGACCGACACATTTTGGAAAAGACTTTTGTCCCAAAGCAGTCCAACACCCCCATAAGGTCGGCCGTAAATCATACCTGCCGCCGAATCCATTGCAGACGTGCCCATGCTGCCGAAACGCTCATCAATCCCGCTAAGAAATTGAATATCGTGTCCAAATAACCAAGTTTCTTGAAGTGCTATCACACTCGCCGACTGACACAAAAATCTCACATCATCAACTGAGCGTTTTATACTTTTACAGTTGAAGCTAACTAACAGTTGAGAATTTTATCCATTTACAGCAGGGATAGGGCCGTTCACGGTATTCATTACTACACCGTTTGTGCCACTGCTATTATTTCGTCTGAAGTTAACGAATCGCCTGAATATAACGCCCTCCAGCCAAAGTGTTGCATCTAAAAATATTTTTATTTTCCGCTCAGGAACAAAAAATTTGAACGCGTTATAGTCCTTGTTACCTCTCAAAAAAGATATCCTTTCCAGTTTAATATTTTCTTGCGTCTTATTGTAAACATATTCCACAATATCCGTCTCCGTCGTCTCCTTATGCACAATAGTAATAAAAATTGGTACTTTTCTGTCCGCTGCTTTAAAATTACAATTCTCGTCATTAGAAACACCCGCGGCGCCCAAATAACGATATGACCTCGTTTTAGGTTTCCGACGCTGCACTGTTTTAGTCACCTCGGCGAAAGATAACACACGGGCTGGCCCCGCAGCTGGCACCGCTGTCCGGCTCGGCGCTGCCTCGCAGCTTGGCTGCGCGCTCGGAGCGCTCGGCGCGCTCGCCGTTTGCGGTGACTCATCACTCTCACCGCCCGCGCCAGCACCGCTACCCTGTACCGCGCTGCGTGCGCCTATCCCGCTCGAGGGATGTGCTTTGTAACTTCCAAACGCACTACCCTCCATATAATTTATGTTTCTATAGTTTAAATTAAGATCTCTCGGAGATGACGCTTCAACATCGGACTGCTCGCTCTGATTTGTCATGATCGTATTATCAAGTTGAGACAATGCTATGGGCCCACTTTCTCGATAAGCGCCTTTTCTCATGTTCATATAAAAATTGAATAAAACTATTATTTACGGATTTTATCGCGCTTAATAACTATTTTATTTTATTTTTATTATTCCGACGTTTCGGGTGTTTTACAGCACCCATGGTGACGTGGGGGGACTGAGATGTTTGACGTCCCAGCGTCATAGTTAGTCCGGCTAACTTCAGTTTTGAATAATAATTTTTGGTTTGATTTACGCAAAACGAGCTTATAGTATCATGAAGTCTTGCAGTGGTATGCTTGGGATTAGGTTTAATTTTGTTAATTATAGGATCCCAAGCAGAGGGCAGCAACCATCCATCTTCTCTATTGAAATTGGGATGTTTTTTAATTTCAACAGCCTCGCGTATCATCCTTGGTAGGAATCAGTGTTCCTTCGCGAGGATTTGTGGTTTATCAAATCTAATGTAATAGTGGGGACGATCTTGAATATGTTCGCAGACTGCAGACTTCCAATGTGACCAATAGTGTTATCACATAACGATAACACTATTGGCCACACTGTATATAGGAAAAAGACCCATACCAACCGATATCTAAATGGTGAATCTCACCATCATCCTTCACTGTTAGCTACCATGGGTAAATCTTTGTTTCAGAGAGCACGAGCGATCTGTGACAGAAAACATCTGGCCGCCGAGCTTCAGCACGTCAAGCATGTATTGCAAGATAACAAGCTTCTAGTCCCGCGCCTACGTTACAGTGAACGAGTGAAGCCGGCCACAGTCGAGCGCGCGCCTTCTGTCCTACCGTATGTCAGAGGAGTCACAGACAAGATTGGCTACATCTTGAAGCGAGCTTCCATTAAAACATACTACAAGCCGCCGAAGAAGATTAGTCAATTTTTACCATTCATCAAGCTAGATTATGAATGTGGTCTCTCCTACATAGGTCAAACAAAAAGACCTATAAAAACCCGCGTGAAGGAACATATAGCTGACTTGAGACACACCAATAAACAAAAAAGCACACCAGGAAAGGAACACCAATTCCTACCAAGGATGATACGCAAGGCTATTGAAATGAAAAAAACATCCAAATTTCAAATGAGAAGATGGATGGGTGCTGCAATCTGGATCTGGGATCCTATAATTAACAAAACTAAACCCAAACCTAAGCATAACACTCCAAGACTTCATGATACTATAAGCTCGTTTTGCGTAAATCGGACCAAAAATTATTATTCTAAACTGAAGGTAGCCGGACTAACTATGACGTTGGGACGTCAAATATCTCAGTCCCCCCCGTGACCATGGGTGCTGTAAAGCACCCGAAACGTCGGGATAGTCGTAATTAAAACGCGATAAAATCCGTAAATAATAGTTTTATTCAATGTGTAGTGTTCACGTAAATTTAAAAAAAATCATTTCAACAGTATTCCTCACCGAACATTGAGTCCTTGTAATTTCGCGAATGTGACGCGCCCTTCCGCAATTACAATATGTCAAGAGTTAAGGAGTGTGGGACTTCCTGGAACTGATGGAGTGCGTGCGCCGATCCACGTGGTTGGACATGCTTTGTTAGCTGACACTCCACGAGGAAGGAGAACAAGACAACACAAACAAGTTTAGTACGTGCATTCCATTCTCATCCACTTTTCTCGCTCTGCTTGTTGTATGTTACAACACAGCCTACGAAATCTTTATCGAAGAAACTCACGTTACTATCGCGTCCAATAATATTAACTTAGGCATCTCGATACAGATACAAAAATATTAAGTAAATAAACAAAAATATAAGTGACTTAATCTATAAATACAAGTAACAGATACAAGCTGTACATGTCGTACCAGTTACTCAACTCCGCCGTCACTGATTCATTACTCATTGTAGCAATGTACGTGTATACAACAAAATCCAAGCAAATATACAAAATTCCTCCACCTAGGTGGTGGGGGTTCAGAAATTTTATTAAACATAGATTGTTTTAAATGGTTAATATTATAAAATTAAAGAACGATAATAACCTCTGAGAACAAGGTGATCACTACCAAAATCAATTTTATTTCATTCAGGTTATCATTTATTTGAACGATAGAAAGACAAACTTTATTTGGTACATACATTATAACAAAAATAATAAAAATAAAACATTTTTTAAATCTTATCAAAAATATTTAAAAAAGGAATAACATAATATGCAAAATGGTCTCCACTCAACTTTAAGTCACGAATTGAAGATATAAATACATCAATTCTTAACGCTGATTTTCAGTGCCAGGAGCCAGAAGTGTGAGGCAGATGACAAGTGACAGCAAGAGAAAAAAGAACTAAACAAAATATAAAATAAAATGAAAAAAAAAAACTGTCAAAATTCCACGTGTCAGTGCAACATTGATAGTTTAGAGATGAACAAACGGTGGTATACATACAGGAAAAAATTGTGTATGTGTATATGTGCACACGTGTTTGAGTGTGTGAATGCATTCGTATGTGCATCTACGTTGCTAGCATCGAGATTGAATCATACCATTTATGCCTATTCGCTCGACTTTTGTACGGAAATCAGAAACTTTTTTAATAAAGTTTTAAATGTGGCAACTGTTTAACTATTTCTGATCGGTGATGGTATATCATTCCAGCACTTTGTGGATGCAAAACGGAAACTACCACGGAAGGCAGCTCTGTGATGCTTAGGGTATGTAAGACGTGATGCTGTCCTAACCACACGCTGCGAGAAAATAAGCATTTGTTACAAGTATGATGGTTCCCTGGTATTTATAACTCGAAAAAGCAATAACGCGAGGTAGAAGGTACGTCGAGCAGCCATACTCATCAGGTCTTGTCGATTTAAAAATATGCTGATGTGTGATCTCTTAAGGACTGTGAAGTAGAAACATGCGCAGGCTTTGAACCCAGGATTCTCCAAATACTGTATCCGCATAATTTAGCTTCGATAGAATGAGTGATTCACACAACCTAATGCGCATGACCACTGTCAAATACTCTCTGATCTGGTACAAGACTTTGAGTCTATAGAAAAAGTTACGCATGGTTTCTTGTACATGACCCTCAAAACGCAACCTTCCGTCCATAACGAGACCTAAGTTCCGAGCTTCCAGCACACGTTCTAAAGGAGTAGTCTTGATGTTAATTTGAGGATTGAAAGTTAGAATATTATTTGGCTGGTTATGCGTTCTCACTTCCTAGTAACATATACTTAGATTTAATGGGGTTCAATATGAGATTATTTTGATCACACCAATCGGCTATGCGGTCCAAATCTGAGTTGATTTTTTTTTATTGCTATATTGGTGTCACTGGGTTTAAAAGATATATACAATTGAAGGTCGTCAGCATATATATTATAACTACAATTTTTTATAGTGTTCACTATATCTGAACAATACAAAATAAAAAGTATAGGCCCCAGAATGGACCCTTGAGGTACACCTCTTGGAACTGACAACGTGGTAGATATCCATTCTGATTCATTGTCTTTATTTATTGAACAAATTGTGTACGACTAGTGAGGTAACTTGCAAACCATTTTATTGTTAAATTATCAAATCCGTAATAAGCGAGTTTGGATAAAAGTAGAGTGGTGTTAATGGTATCAAAAGCTCGGGAAAAGTCAAGCAAAACTAACAGAGTACCCTCTCCAACATCTTGTGCAGTCAGAATATCATCTCCTTAATCCATCAGAGCGGTTGCAGTGCTACGAGACTTTCTGAATCTGGATTGCTTTTTTAGGCAGGATATTATCAAGTCGCATTTCTACTGCCGGTCAGTGCAGTCGCTTCATAGTAATGTGGCGGCTCTCATGCCGAACTTACAATATTTTCGTAGCGTAAGCATACCAACTGCGTGAAAATAATTCGAAATGGCGTGTCAACCTAAACGCTCCGATACCGTCGTAGGCCACGAGTTCCTGGCCTTTGTTCAACAAAAATTGGACGTCATAGACCAGATGTCCCTGGAGCAGATACTGATGACCAGCTTCTCCGAGGACGAGATCATCCAAGCGAAGAAGGTGTTAGCAGATTCAGCCGTGACCCAAATCCGTCTTATAACACGTCATAGAGATGGACGCGGTAAGAAAGACCTGCAGGACATCTTCAGGCTATTCAATGAGACCAATACTGATGACATCCCAACTTTCGTTGCACGTGATCTCAACAAGCTGCCTCCCGTGACGTTTGATCACGTAGACGTGACCAGATTGTTGAAAGACATCACCATGTTGAAAGCCGACGATACCGATCTCCGTTTTAAATTTGAAGAATCGGAACGAACCGCAACTGAGTTGAAAAACGAAATCACTATGTTGCGCAACATAATTGCAACATCTGCGAATTCACCGCCGTCTCAGAATGTAAATACGACACGCAGTAATCGTAATAGTAGTCATATTTCACCGATGATTGCGACTCCGTCACGCGATACCGTCTGTCAACGGGTTGATGACCGTGAAACTAGGGCGACCTCGGTCGTCATTGCATCACCACCTCAGCCCTTGACTGAACCCTTGAGTACTCCTCCGCCGAAGCCAACTTGTCAACAAGGGAAGACGTTTGCGGATGTTGCCCGAAGACCTTCACAACCGGTACCCTATTGTGGTTGAAAACAAAATAATAGGGGATGTAAGATCAGTTCCTGTGGTGACCCGAAACAAGAGAGATAATGACAGTTTTACTCTTGTTGAGAAGAGACGTCGGTCGAGACCCGTCTGTAACCAGCGTGGGACCGCCAAAATAAACGCAAGCACAACTCTGCGTGTTGTGGAGCCTACCATACAGCTCTACATCTCCCGTTTGGACAAAAGTACGTCGGGAGAAGTCGTCCTGCGTTTCGTGGAAGAACGAAGCCGATGCCGCATAGAGGATCCGATCTCCTTACATTTCAGCGTCTGGAGTCTAATAGGTCAACGAACTTTAAATCCTACGTACTCCAGTTCCCTGCAAAATACAAAGAGATATTCCTTGCTCCCAATTTCTGGCTCACTGGGATAGTGTTTCACCGAAACAGGGACGCGCCAAAGAAAAAAGTTCCCTA